GACACACTTAAGTCAGCTGACTGCTACTTGTGGGTGGAGCTCCTTCAGTTAGTCGGGCTCCACCAGGGGGCCCCATAGTGTTTAATATTACCACCTGTAACCACAGCAAAGCACCATCAGAGATTACTGTTCTTATTAAACTCCACTGCAGTCCTGCATGGCGCACTCAAAACCCTCAAACACTCTCAGAAGCTCAACATCTTATTGAAATAAAGAGGAATTTTCAGAGAGGGAATTATGTCTGCAAGTCATAAGAGTTTCTTCCACTCTCCTTTTTCACTAGCAGAGAGCATTTCGCACAAGTCTCGACACTTTAGCCTTCGATGGCACACCGACGGACTCATCGTACACAATGTCTCAATTCAAGCGCCAGTCTTTACAGATTTTTTGTAGTATTATTAGTACACTGGTAAATTTAAAGGTGTCATTGTTTAGCATGCCAACATAAGCGGATCTGAGAAATAACTAGTCACTGGATTTGCTGACGTTTTGAAGTTCATGGTATTATATTTATCAAATATATTCAAGAGTTTTGTATGAGACATTTAGTAGGAAAGCAAGACACAATATGAAAAGTAATTTTTTTTTTTTTGTTGTTGTACTCATTTTATTAATTTTGTTTTTAAAAAAAAAAAAATTAATAAAATGAGTACGGTTTGTGGCCAGAATAAGCTGCACCAGACTTTGTTAGCTTCAAAAATCCAGCTATTCGAAACTAAAACATCTCCCAGTGTCTTCTGCCATAAATCGGCACCAACCAGGAAAATTCCCCTGAGTGACAGACCCCCAGTGACCAAGACCCAGAGATCAGAGAGTCAACACGTCCCTCGGGGCGTCCAGCGGTGCAGGTCTATGCTGAGCAGTCGCCAGCACAAAGACCCTCCACGGATGAAAGATCATCTCTAATCTAGAAAAGTCCTCAGGCATAAAGCGCTCTGTCGGTGTATCCCCCAAAGAAAAGGCAGATTTGATTTTTAAAAAAAAAAAAAAAAAAAATTTGTGTGTGTACACACACACACACACACAAACAAACATGTGAAAACTGCCTTGGTGAAACCATGATTTCCTGAAATAAATCTGTTGTACACGTCAATCAAGACGGCCTCTTCCTGTCCAAGTTGACGGTTTGTGGCCAGAATAAGCTGCACCAGACTTTGTTAGCTTCAAAAATCCAGCTATTCGAAACTAAAACATCTCCCAGTGTCTTCTGCCATAAATCGGCACCAACCAGGAAAATTCCCCTGAGTGACAGACCCCCAGTGACCAAGACCCAGAGATCAGAGAGTCAACACGTCCCTCGGGGCGTCCAGCGGTGCAGGTCTATGCTGAGCAGTCGCCAGCACAAAGACCCTCCACGGATGAAAGATCATCTCTAATCTAGAAAAGTCCTCAGGCATAAAGCGCTCTGTCTGTTTGTCTGAGAGTGGCGGGGCTTGAAGTTACTCTTTTTGATATGACAGTGGAAGTATCACTTCATCTTGTTGATGCCACTGGCCAGTTTGTCATCTGCAGAGACTTCACTCCCCAAAACAAGGTTAAAAACCCCAGCACAGGCCTCGGGTTCCTTTTTAACAGCATCTTCTGTGATCTCGCTCCTCTGTGTGGCCCAAGTGTGTGTGTGTTTCCTTTATCAAATACATATGTGACAGTCTCCACACTCTGTCTCTATGAAATGGAGGCCTGAAGGGTCGGACTCTTTAATCTGTCTTTTCTCAGAGAAGGGTTTTCACTCCTTTTGAGTGTGAATGACTCGGGTCAGACCAATCATACAAAATCCATCCTATCCCAGAGAACGCTGAACTTTCATTTCTTTATTTTTTTTTGTTTTTAGTGTTTACTGTTTTTAAAGGAACAGTACTATCTTTGCTGGTCTATTTATAGTTGTACTACAGTTTGCAGTTGATTTTCTATGTAAACTCTTTATTTTTTTTTGTTTTTAGAGTTTACTTTTTTTAAAGGAACAGTACTATCTTTGCTGGTCTATTTATAGTTGTACTACAGTTTGCAGTTGATTTTCTATGTAAACATGCGCTGGACTATGTAAGCTTGTTTCCGCCATGGTAGGTAATTGCAACTTTGTGTGTGTGATATATATATATATACACACACACACATACATACACACGAAAAATTTTTGTATATAAGAAATGTATAAGAGATAAACCCAGTATTGCGATATATAAACTCATAATTCTGACTTACTTGCAAATCTGAGTCTACATTTCACAATTCTGTTTTCGCCATAAAATAATAAAAAAGCTAATTGTGAATTTTTGTTTCACAATTCTGACTTGATCACAATTGCATGTTTCTCACAATTTATATATTGCAGCTTGCGAGTTGAAAATTCACAAGTTAACAGAAAGTCAAACTCAGAATTATGAGAAAAAAAAGTCTGAAATATGAGATTAAAAGACCCCATTAGATTTTATATTATAAGTTTTTTCTAAATCTCATGCCGGAAACAAGCTTCCATACTAGACAGGCTCCTCTTGTTATAAAAACGCAGCATTCAAGGTAAAAGTCCACTTTCAAAAACAAGATGTGGCAAGAGACGAGCGTAGTGGTCAAACACGCGTTTATATAAAACAAATAATGAGTGACTGAATCATTCATTCAACAGACTTGTTCAAAACTGATTTAAACACTGATTCATTCAGGAACATCGCTATGAAGTGTTGCTCGTTTCTGCATGCCTTCATTTGGAACCATTTTGGTTGGTGAATCAAAAAGACACAAAAGTAACTGATATTAGTTATGTCCAAAATAGGTTACTTAATATTAATTTCTTGTTTACCTTTGGTCTGAATGACATTTTTTTTTTAAAGATCTCACATATTTAGGCTTTGCATTTCCTGATGAAGAAAGAAATTCATCAAAAGCCATTTGAATTAAATCATTTCACTAATAATGTTCATCTCTGGATGTGAAATCAAATATGACATAATATCAGTTACGACATACCTACACAATGTACAACAACAAAGAAAAACAGTTTAATTAAGAAGAAATCACAAATGTCAAATGTTATAATATGTAAAACTCACCCAATTTTCTTTTCCTTAACGTCAATATAATTGAATTCAGGGATTCCATTTATGTTTTTTTTATTGGTTTTATTTTATTGGTTTTTGTTAAATGTGAGCCAAAATCATCACAATTAAAAGAACCAAAGACTTAAACTACTTCAGTCTGTGTGCATTGAATTTATTTAATACACGAGTTTCACAATTTGAGTTGAATTACTGAAATAAATGAACTTTTCCACGACATTCTAATTTATTGAGATGCACCTGTACATCATTAAAAACAATAATAATAGCGGTTCCTTTAACGATTCTCACACGTGTTTTTTTTCCGGCGATGTGGACAGAACACCACACTAGTCTGACAGATTTTCATGTGCTATTTATTCAGTGTTGTCACAACATTGCTACTGAAACTACAGAGTGAAACAGACATCGCGTCCAGTGAAATTTGATTCCAGAGCAATTTTTAGGAGCTGGTTATTTTTAGTCAAACATAAGTATGCAGCATGCGTAGTATTGCCTTGTCCAAATACCCATAGTTGCGGTCTTGGCTACTTGAGAGCGCGTGTGCGCGACAGGAAGTAAAGGTGCGTTCAAGTCATGTCGGATAGATCGTATTTACGAGTTGAACGCACATGAACGCCACCACAAGCAAGTTAAATATTAATATAATAATTAGATATTACATATAATTTGCTAGAAAAACAGTGTTTTTACGTTTTTTCAAGTGGTCAAGTGCAAAGACCGCAAGTGTGGGTATTTGGACAAGGCATATGACTCCCAAACAAATGATTCCTATGAGCCGGCTCTTTTTAGTGAACCATAAGCATACAGCGCGGCCAGTGTAGTCTGATTTCCGAACGAATCATTCACTTCAATGAGTCAGTGCGATCAGTCTAATTACAGAATAAATGACTCTCATGAGCCAGTTTTGTTTAGCGAGTTAACAGTATAGGCCTAAAGCCTAACCAGTGTAGTCTGATTCCCGATTTGGACGCGACAATGCAACCGTTGCAAATCATTTGAATTTTGTGTCAGTATGTCATAAATAGAACGAGGCAGCAGTTTACTGTCAGGGATTTGTCATGTGGTTCTGAGTTTACATCGCATAATTCTGACCTTTTTCTCACAAATTGGAATTCAGAATCGCTCAGAATTCTGAGGAAAAAATTCTAAATTTGGAGATGTTAACTTGGAATTCTGAGCAGTCCAGATTGTGAGATATAGCCTAACTCAAGAAAAAAAGTAGCAATTTGTCACAATTCGCAAAATATAAAATGTAAAAACTCGGAATTGCAAGAAAAAAAGTCTGAAATATTGGGAGTTTATCTCTCCCAATTGTGAATTTATATCTCACATTTCTGACTTTTTTTTCAGAGTTTTTATCTCGCATTTTATATCTATTGCGAGAAAAAAGTCTGAATTGTATAATAAAAAGTTGCAAGTATATTTTTTATTCCATACCGGAAATGGTCTTCCATACACTTTCTTCATTTGACATACAGTATATGTAAAAAAATGAACATTATGAGTTCTGTCATTAATACCTTATAAAATTAAGTATATGATATGTGATAACACTTTTTTGTTCATTTAGTATTATTTTATATAGGATAATTAATGAATTGCATTTATGCTACTTCTAAAGGACTGTGTTAAAAAGTGTAAGAATTGTTTTAAATGTATTGTTTTTGTTTTTAATTTAATTATCTATAATATTTTACCAGGGAATTCATCCCATTAGCCATCAGACGATGTGAGCAGTAAGAACACCCACTATGACCAATAAATATAGAGACTGACAACATCCAACGATAAAATCACAATCTGCATGAACGACCTATAAGGATCCCATCATGGTAAGGAATATCATACTTCTGATCTGGCAACATCTGAACGTGAGATAAAAATACGCGACTCTCAAAAGCAGGTCATCTGAGTGATACAGCCCTTTCAGGTGACGAGTCGATTTGGTTTGAGATAACCATCTTTTCCAACACAGGCCACGTTTGTTTGTGCAGCAGGTCAGGATAATATATCAAAATGCTCTCCTGCATCAAATCACTTTGAATTAAAGTAAAGATATAAGTGCAATTAAAATGACAAAGCTCCACCTGAAACAACATAATCTATGTCTTCATCTTAGCTGTGGTCAGCATTATCCATCTTTCAGAGCAGATTTTCTCTCTCACAGCTGCCTGCATAACCACACCTAACGGCAAAGCTGGTAAGTCATTTTGTGAGCATAAAAATCAATATGTTTGGATCAATATAGTTGGAATGAAGGAACACAGGATAGATATTATGAGAGAGAGAGGGAGAGTAAATGTGATTTCAGCACAACTGTACAGTGAGAATCTGTTTCTGTAGCTTTACTCTCCTCACCGCTCTTTATGTGGGTTTAAATCACTAAGTGCTAAAAATAAGCCATAATAATGGACACTTGTTATTTACATGATTTCATCTCAGTGTTTTATAGATGAAGTGTTAAATTACTTTCTCCTATTCCAGCTTAATATGCCGAGAAAGTCATTTGTATGCTTATTCTACTAAAAAAGTGAAAACACTGACTCAGTGGCACTAACAAAACAATGCTAATTTGTTTAATTCTGATCAAGGGTGCATTTCCTAAAAGCATTGTTAGCCAACTATGGTTGCAAGTTGCATCGTTGTCAACATAGTTCAACAATTCGGTGTTTTCCGAAACCATAGTTCAACAGAACAAGCATCGCAAACTTACGTGTTTGGGACTACAGCTCTCGACCTGTGTTTAGAAGCATAGTTTCTTAAATAAATTATGCTCTTGGGCACAATAAGCAAGCTAACTTGTAGGACAATCCATATCTTTAAATCTATTTAAATATATATATATACATTTCAATCAATATATTTGAACTTTTCCTCAAAATGTGCCATTTTTGAAGAGTGTGTACATAAGCGCGTACTTCATTAATAACCGCCCTATATTGTTGACAGTGCTGGGTAGTAACTGATTACATGTAATCTGGATTACATAATCAGACTTCAAAAATTAAATACTTGTAATTAGATTATATATACATTTTTTAAATACTTGTAATCGGACTATAGTTATTTTTTTACTGGTTACATGATTACATATTATTCAAAAAATAGCAATAAATGTATCATTATTCAGAAATTATTTCATTAAACTCATAAAACCCCCTGCTTCCCTTCCTTCACGAACCCTAGTTTGGGGAAACCTTGACGTAATGTAATGTTTAATGCACTTCATGTTGTTAATAATATCGAATGGAATATATTTTCTTTCTTTTTGTATTTTTATATCATTATGGTTCAAGATTATTCTATTTAAATCAATGTGATGAATGTGTTAAGTCAAAAGTAATCTAAAATAATCTGATTATACCTAAATTGTGTAATGTAATGGATTACGTTACTGACTACAATTTAGGTTATGTAATTTGGAATCAGTAACAGACTACAATTGGCAAGTAATCTACCAGGCACTGCTTGTTGAACCAACGTGGTTCAAACGACGGAGGTGCAACCATGCTTGGGAAACAGTCATGATTAGCTTGTTAGTTTCTACAATGATGCATCGTAAATTATGTTGTATGGGAAATGCACCCCAGTTTAACACAGCAAGACTGCCTCAACCAATGGAGTGAGTTTGGGGCGGGACTATCTGTTTGACCACCAATGGCAGATGGAGAAACATTCAGGAACCTGTTTGAACCAAGAAGTCAAGGTTTGGTTAATTAGATTTGCTGATTAGCATGCTGTAACTATACCATTTGCTTAAAAAAAAAGCTTCTTTATCCATTGAAGATTGATTAGTTACTTGAAATCTATGGTTTAAAGAGTTCTGGGCACATAAGCACCTCAAATCACATCCTGCGCCAGTGAGACCAACTGCCATTGAGATGAATAGAGATGCTAACGGCTAACAGCTTGCTCCAGGTATTACAGTCCAACATTTAGTGAATACATTTATGCTACGTTACAATCTCTGTAAAAGCTTAGATGTTGCTTTTATGATGTGTTTGTAGCTTAAAAATTGTTATTTTGATTTATATTACGTTGGGTTTGTAAGTAAGTAAAGTGTTTCTTTAATTTGAATGAATTTAGATGCTCTTGAGATGAGAAATTAATACAGTGTGTGGGTTTACATTTAAGGTTATTGTATTGGGACACTGTTGTCCTGTTTGTCAAGCGGACGTCTGTCATTGAGCTTCTCGTCGTAGATCCAGACTTTATTTCCCATGAGTCACACCTGCTGCTTCCCCTGGAGCTCACTGTGGGTTCAGTGGGACACAGAGCGGACGCCGCCTGACATCTGAGCACGCTGAGATCTCTCATCTGAAAGAACACAAGGTCAGAGATCTGAGCTCTTTATGACATGGACAGAACATTTCAGCTGTACAGCAGACTTCAGTCAAACATTGACAGACTTACTAGATCATGATGTCACCTCTGTTGAAAAGACCACTGTAGGTGGTCACCACCAGCTTATGTTGTGGTTTTGGTTCCCCACAAGTCTTGAGTAACTAGCACAACCAACAAACAATTGAACAGCTTAAACTAAATTTTGCTGGATAACAGCAACATTTTTTGCATTTTATTGAAAGTGCCCCTATTATGCCATTTCAGATATTGCCTTTCATGCAGTGTGTAATGTAGCTCTGTGTGAATGTAAACAATCTGCAAAGTTGTAAAGCCAAAATCTGAAAGAACACAAGGTCAGAGATCTGAGCTCTTTATGACATGGACAGAACATTTCAGCTGTACAGCAGACTTCAGTCAAACATTGACAGACTTACTAGATCATGATGTCACCTCTGTTGAAAAGACCACTGTAGGTGGTCACCACCAGCTTATGTTGTGGTTTTGGTTCCCCACAAGTCTTGAGTAACTAGCACAACCAACAAACAATTGAACAGCTTAAACTAAATTTTGCTGGATAACAGCAACATTTTTTGCATTTTATTGAAAGTGCCCCTATTATGCCATTTCAGATATTGCCTTTCATGCAGTGTGTAATGTAGCTCTGTGTGAATGTAAACAATCTGCAAAGTTGTAAAGCCAAAAGTGCACGATAAATAAAGTTATTGTCTCCCAAAAGAAAGAATTGACACTGAATAGCCTAAACGAGTCTTCAGTAATTAGGATCCCACTTTTAACACATTTGCATAATGCCTGCCTATGTTCTCCGACCAATCAGAGCAGAGCAGGCTCACGGAAAGGAGGGGTTTAGCGAGACTGAATTTTAGAACTGCTTCGAACGAATCGTTTGAGAATCGTGTGGTGATATTAAATGCATATTTTGAGAAAACGAAAGCGTTTTTTGACCTCGCATGCATGGAAACCTATAGGAGTCTCCCAAAACAATATTAGGAACCTTAAAATGGCATAATAGGGGCACTTTAAATTTTTAGCAAAAAAAAAAAATACAGTTTGTATGGAAAAACAGTCAACGAATGAGTCTAAATAGAGATGTTGAAATTTGCATCTATAATCACTTCTGATGAATTTGTCACGCTAGAAATGTAAATTTCAGTGCATTCTGCATTGTGACTGCAATTACATCAAACTCTACTGTGTCATAAAGAGTAGAAAGCTGTATAAATAACATTAGGACCAATTCTAAAAGATAGTATATTAGGTTAATATATTTTGGATTATTTAATATATTTTTGGATTATTTACAGCTACTTTTTTGTTTGATATTGGATTTGTTTTTATCAATAACAGAAGAATTTATTCAAAATATTATTTCAGTTGTTTGACAAATGCATGACTTTGTGTGCTTTTATATTGGTAAAATAATATCAAAAAAAGGGAAAAATTCCCCTGAAAATCAATAAATGTAAATGTAAAAAAAAATTTTTAATTTTCAACAATGGCACACAATGTACACATAATTTAGCTTGTAATTCTAGCCTAATCAGCTTAAATCAATCAGAAGTTCATGCTGGTCTAAACTGGTCAGCGGGGGTGGAATTTAATTAATTATAAGTCATGTGTCACAGTTTGGAAAATATCAATGCTGGCTTCTGTGATTTTGTTATGTGAATGCTTCGTTTTCATTCATCAGCAGGCCAGTCAGCTCTCATGTTCATGTTTTGTTTTTTTGTGTGCTCTTTTGTGCTCTGTTATGGGTTGGTAAAAGCATGTGTGCATTAATGTTAAATGCAGAAGAATTTATTCAAAATATTATTTCAGTTGTTTGACAAATGCATGACTTTGTGTGCTTTTATATTGGTAAAATAATATCAAAAAAAGGGAAAAATTCCCCTGAAAATCAATAAATGTAAATGTAAAAAAAAATTTTTAATTTTCAACAATGGCACACAATGTACACATAATTTAGCTTGTAATTCTAGCCTAATCAGCTTAAATCAATCAGAAGTTCATGCTGGTCTAAACTGGTCAGCGGGGGTGGAATTTAATTAATTATAAGTCATGTGTCACAGTTTGGAAAATATCAATGTTGGCTTCTGTGCTTTGTTATGTGAATGCTTCGTTTTCATTCATCAGCAGGCCAGTCAGCTCTAATGTTAATGTTTTTTCCCCCTTTAATTTGTGCTCTTTTATGGGTCAGTAAAAGCATATGTGCATTAACGTTAAATGTTCTAGATAGAGAAGGTGGAAGGGAAAGTAAATGTTCAGTGAGGCCTGGATTAATCGTCTCCTTTCTCTGATCCGACCTCCTGCTGAGGAACCCGTACTTCACCTTTCATCTTTTCATCCTATATTCATTTATGTGGATTTATTTTTTTTAAATTAAGCCCTTTTTAACTGTCCTTTTAGGTTGTTTTGAGAATGTTCTGTAGGCTACTAATAAAAAAAGGACCTCTGTATATTTGTTTGTTGCAAATTTACAGACAATGCAGTTGAAATGTTTACATTGGCTTGTCGGGGTAATATTTCTGTCCACTGACAACAAAGTTTTCCTTCTGAATTAGCATAACTGCACAAGTTTTATACTTAATAAAATCTTTAAAAACAAATGACATTAGTTATACTTTAATTTCCTTCAATAAAAAGGAAATTGAGTAAGACGGTGTAAAAGGTGTGTGGACGTGGATTAGTAATCTGGCCCCTTGGTATAAAGGAGAAAAAATGCTGGCCCTCGTCACTATCAAAGTTGCCCATCCCTGTTCTAGATGGAGAGGGTGGAAGGGAAGGTAAATGTTCATTGAGGCCTGGGTTAATCTTCTCCTTTCTCTGATCCGGCCTCCTGCTGAGGAACCCGTACTTCACCTTTCATCTTTTCATCCTATATTCATTTATGTGGAATTAAGCTTGTGTGTGTATTAATGCACGTTTGAATGAAATGTGGTGGTCTGAGTTGGCTTATATCCAAACGAGAGTGCTGGACCTGTTGCTGGGGGAAACAAGCTTTTTTGTCTTTAAAACATTGATTTCTCAAAGTGTTTTTACCAACATGTGGTCTCTCAGGGAAGGTGTTAGCTCTCAGCTTTCATATTTTATTTAATATTAGAGGTGAATAAACAGTTGTTTTCCTGTCTGTTTGAGGAAATATCACAGTTTGGTTTATTTTTTAATAGTTTCAGAAAGAAAGCAGATGGACATCTGAAATGTTTACCACATGGTTGCTGTATCCTTTACTGTGACCTTGCCTATGATGGAGGGGATGGTCTTTTCTTCATGGTTGATGTGATGGGCTAGTAGCTGTCAGAGCACTGGAGGACATCAGGGAACACATGTCTTTCTTTATGCCACAGCCGTTGTCTGTATCAGCGAGGGGTCACTGTCAGCCGGTATGGGGTTCTGGCATTTCAAGCCTGACTTGAAACTTTAGACTGAACTGGTTGATCTATCCATGCTGAAGAAGAAACACATGTGCTTTGTTCATTGGCCTTTACTGCCCAAGCTCATCAAAATCTGGCGGTCCAGTTCAGACTCATATCATTTTTCAGGTCACAGTGGCGCGATATGTATTGACAGAACAGTTTTCTCTGCACTTGGTAGATGAACTTCTCTGTGCTGCACCGTGATGTCAGATTAATGCATCTTTCAACATCTAACTGTGGTTTTAATGGGTCATGTAACTGTGACCACACAGTGCACATCTGAATTCAGTAGATATTTCGTTTGTTCAAACCGATATGTTGTAAATACATTCCATCTCACATCAGTTTGCCACATTTTTCTATATTAAGCCCATCAAAATCAGAATTTAACAAATGATCCTGTATTTTCTGGTGATCGTCATGCAGAATTTTGGACAGGAGCACATCAAACTAGATTATATTTATCACGTCACACTGGGCCTCATCAATCAAACGTAGAAACGAGTACAGATCCGAGCGCACACATCAACTTACGACAGGGTTCACGTGTGATTCATGAAACATTCGTATGCCGCCAGTTCCATTGTACAAATGATCATATGCTGATAAATATGGCGGCTGAAAACAATCGTCATTTGAATATCACGTCTCTAAAAACACCCCACTTTAGAAGTAACCCGCCAAAAAGAGGAAGTAAACTCATGAAAGTGAAATTGATCTTACTTCAAAAACACCCGTTAACCTTATAATTGCAAACGACTGCATTAATTTATATGTATATTAAATAGCGGTAAATATAACAAAAAATGTACAAACATTATAAGCACTATAGCCTGTTTAGTTCCCTTCACTCCACAACAAATCCTTTGAATTTAACGGTATTCAGAACAGAACAAGAATGAAAAATAAGTAGCTATAAAATTATACATGAAACTATAAAATAAAGCAAAAATTAGGCTATAGTGGCATTCATTATAAACCGCATACAAACGTCAAGCTAAAACGAATTGATTTCAAGAGAAACTGAAAAGGCACTGGGCTCACAAACCTCTCTCATTCAACAAGAATCCAAATGTTTCCATTTTTGCCATGTAACATTTGGTTGCTAAACTATTATTCATTATTTAAACGAGGCTTTGTAATTCAGTCATGCTACAATATCCATGTAAGACATCATCCTTCACATATGTAAAAATGTGTTTGTTTGGGCGCTGCACACCGATTTTACAGCGGACCTTTTACATTGAGCAGTGTAACTTTTATGTTTGGTTGACTGCATTTTAGTTTGATAATGAATGGCTAAAATGTCAAATTAGGAACACTAGAACTGATATGTGCATGCCCTTGAGGCGCCTGCGCGATCAGTTGGATTTAATAAAATAACGATATTAAAAAAAAAAAAATGTAATGCATTAAAAGTGCTAAAATAAGAAATATAAGTTACATCACACTGCACTCACATAGTGGCATCATGATATCAAGCTGAAATCCCAGCATAGCAGTATTACATGGCTCCACAATAAGCGAGTCCCCATGAGTGTGATTCTTGCTTGGTGTGCTGCTGTGTGATCATTTCCTGTTCTCGCTTGGGTGGTAATTACTGTAGATAACCTCTAAGTCCTACCCGACCTGGAGCCATGCCCTTATCTCCCACTTTTAGCTTTCTGGAGATCACACTCTCTTGCTACCTCTCAGCATGTGTGTTTGTTTAGCTCCGTCTCACTGCACTAGGGAGAAACGACAGGTGCTTCCAAAACGAAGGAACTAGCATTCTTCCATCAGGAGCGCTAATCTGATTTAGCACTGCTAGCCCAGTGCGTGGCACGGCTGTCACTGATGCCTGTGGAGAACATGTATTAGTACACGGAGACGCCAACCTGACACCATCTGCACGTACAGGTGCCATCAACAGCATCTCCAAGGCTTAGAAGAGTGAACTATCGCTGGCATCCGGTGATGCAAGAAGCCCCAGGAGTGTGAAAATGGCGGCGGTGCTGAATATCTCCTCAACTTTGACACTGTCACCATAGAGGGATGAAGATTGACAGGATGCAGTCAGACATACTGCAGTAAAAGGCCAGTGCTGTATGTCTTATTCTGTTTCCGGAATATATGTATCAGTATACTGTGTTTTTGGCGACATTTAGATGCACTTAAAAGGGACAGTTCACCCAAAAATGAAAATGACCCCATACTCTCCCTCATGCCATCCTAGGTGTATATGACTTTCTTCTTTCAGACGAATACAGACAAGTAATATTAAAAAATGTCCTGGCTCTTCCAAGCTTTATAATGGCAGTGAATGGCTGTTGAGATTTTGAAGTCCAATATAGTACATCCATCCATCATAAAAAATACTCCACACGGCTCCGGGGGGTTAATAAATATATAAAAAAAATATTCACTGCCATTATAAAGCTTGGAAGAGCCAGGATTTTTTTTTTTTAATATAACTCCGATTGCATGCGTCTGAATGAAGAAAGTCATATACACCTAGGATGGCTTGAGGGTGAGTAAATCATGGGGTAATTTTCATTTTTGGGTGAACTATCTCTTTAATGGAACAGTTAACCCAAAAATGAAGATTCTGTCAACATTTACTGGCTTATTCCAGAGAGGTGCCATCAATAGAATAGGAAAGTTTTTTTTATTTTTAATTTGGAACAATTTGTGCATATGTAATAAGAAAGTATTTAAATTCTTGATATCTCAGTAAACTTTTTGTGCTAATAAACCACACAACCTAATTTGATCTCTTTGACGAAGGCTTGACTGGGAACATTGAACGCTTTGCTAAATTCTGCATCATTCTCCTCCCTCTCCATTACGGACCCTTTCAAATGACTAATTCCCTTTCACTCTCTCCACCACGTTTTCGCAAGCCGCCCCTCAATTTACATAACATGAATAGAGATGAACCTCTGCCTGCACCGCTCTGGCCGAGTTGTTTTTTAGTTAGATGATCCGTTTATTAGTTTATTGGTCTATTTATCTCTCCTGCTCTCCAAAAATCACTTCAGCTTGTGTTTACCTCACAGACGAGCTCTGGTCTTTAACAAGAAATTTGGGATTCCTGCTTCTTACCTTATCAGAAACAGCCCACAGAATAAATATATTCATAAATATGAGGCGTGAGGTGGTTCTGATGGGAGAAGAGATGCAGCATTATGTCTAAATTGATCACAGATTGTCTTTTTTAGAAGAGGAGAACTTTGTGTTAACAGCTGTTATCAGAAGTCTCACATGTGTGGAGAAAGAACAGATGAGCGTTAAAGGTCACCTGGATAGGCTATAGTTAAAATGATTAGGAAGTTAAAAGTATATAGCAATAAAAATGACAACTATATAAAACAAAGAAGATATTTTACAGTTTGACCTTTAATTATGTACTATGATATTTCCGCTTTCATTTGTATCGTTTATTAATTTCATAATTGTCTACTATTGACCATTCGATGAGCAATGATTTAAAAGTGCAGCATTGCCGCCACAAGTTCTCTAGCGGTCAGTTTACTGCTAAATTATTCACAACACTGATTTAAACAATAAAAGACGAACTGTACACAATGTTCTGCACCATAATTCGTAAAAAAAAATCTGAATTTGCATAATATTGTTAAAACATTCAGGAGGTTTTGGTGCTACATGATTTTCCCCACGGTAATTGTAACTTTTATTTATGTAAAAATGCCTTGATTAGGTATTCATAACTTTACGATCATATAAATATGGATACTTTTCTCATTGACTCAATTCATTCATGAAAACAATGGAAGAAGTAAATAACAGAGTCAAAAAAGGAAGGGAGCTGACTGTGAAGTTACTCACAAAAGCAGCACATCAAAAATAGTCTCTTCCCTGTTCTCTCTGCGGGTGTTTAAAACTTATTCTAAATCTCACAACACTGTGAAGTTACTGGGTTGTTAATAGATGAACTGCTGGCAATACAAATGATTGTATAGGCTGTGCAAAGGTAACTATTGGAAATCAAATATTTTGAAAACTTATGAAATATCCATTGACGACTTTTTCTTTGGAGGTTCAGGGCCATGGCATATTCTATCAAAAGGTATACATAGCTTTTATTTTCCTACAAACAATGTTTCCGTTTAGCTGTGCATTTACTGAATGAGCACTGTGCTACGTCCAAACTGATTGCCTATGCATCATCATCTTTTATTCTTAACTGTTTTAATTCATTTTAAATCATTTAAAAATTTTAATTCCTTGCTTTTATTGTTGTGATTATTTTTTAATTCCTTTTGTGTAAAGCACTATGAATTACCATTGTGTATGAAATGTGCTAGGCTATATAAATAAACTTGCCTTGCCTTGCCCTTACAGTCAACTGAACCTTACAATTAGCCTACATCTCACATATTAAATACAACAAAACTCTGCCGTGATTATATGTTTAAATAACATAATTTGATCACTCACGAACCTAAAATATACATCACAGTAACGCTTTCCGGTTCATTTCGAATCGAACATAATCGAAAAATGACTCGCGGTTAATTAAGGCAGAGGCAGTCCGTTGTAAACGGAATAACGGAACGATTCACTGACGAGCGAGTTCGAGGCCGTTTCCGTAAATCTTTTTTGACTGACTTATTAAAAGAACCGATTCATAAGAGTCATTTGCTCGTGAATCGGACATCGTGACTCGCTTTGCATAGGAAACACTTGCACGGGCTCTAACTGACGAAACCGAATACGGAAGAACACAGCGAGTTTTCCAGACTGTAGATTTTAGTTTACTGATGCACATTTTTATTTTAATCGCATTGTGGAGCCAATATGCCGCGTAATGAAATACGTTATTTCGAATATATATTAATCAAAAATAGAAGCATTTCTCTGGTGATCTCAGACCCTACCTTTATGCTGATATTAAATGGTGAAATACAACGATTATGAACATACACTCTAAAAAATGCTGGGTTAAATTCAACCCAGTGCTGGGTAAAATAGGGACAAACCCAGCAATTGGGCTGTTTTGACCCAGAGGTTGGGTTAAATGTTTAACCCAACCTTCTGGGTAGTAACCCAGTAACATTTTTTAGAGTGTACAATTCCACTTTTAGTCACAGAAGCCTACACATGAAACTTCTATAGGCGTATTGCATTCTATATTAACTTTAGCTCCGGAAACTGGATTAACCCTATATAAAATATCTACAAAAAAAATAATAAAAAATTAAAGAATGGCGAAAAATAACACATCTCTTTAGCCAAAAAAACTTTTTCTAGTAGTAGGCTACTAAATAAAATATTGTGTACTAGTTGGCTGTGGGTGCTCCCTTTCCCTGATAGCACACACACTGAGATGTCT